GTTATTCTGAAGCGCTATTTCTTCATATAACGTTCGTCGATAGCGTGCGCCTGTTATAATATAAAGGTTTTACTGATACAACACACCAGTTGGAGCCAGATAACGTGTTTGACGGATAACATGCACGTTAAAGTTAACATGAGTGATACAGCACAGGGCTGAATGTGTGAAGGGATGAACTAAATGGACAGTGAAGGTATGTTTTCTGTTGTTTTTATTGAACCGTCTGAATTTTTTTAAATGTATTCAGTGGAATTCAAGTAGATGTTTGAAATCGACCATCGAATAGTAATTTGTTTTGCGTGGCGGATTTCAACAATCAACCCTGTGCTATATCACTCACGTTAACTTTAACGTGCATGTTATCTGTCAAACACGTTATGTGGCTCCAACTGGTGTGTTGTATCAGTAAAACCTTTGTATTATAACAGGCGCACGATATCGACGAACGTTATATGAAGAAAGAGCGCTTCAGAATAACAGCATCAAATCACATGCCGCTTTCGAACTTAACGTGCATCCCTCCAAGTTAACTTCGGAGAATAAATAAAACAATGGTGTTTAATCAGAGCGTAGTTTTGTCTTTTAGCTATTATTTGTTTTTAATTTGAAAGAAAAATATGTCTTTTGGTGGTCTTATAAGGTTAGCTTTATTAGAACAATTGGAAAATGGTCTTGAAAATAAACTTTATTTTCCTCCACAAACTCTACTAAATTTTCAAATTGTTTGCGGGTTGTTTTTGTGCCTCTTCTGTATATGCTCAATTGAAAGTGTTTGAGATGATGGGTCAAGAACAATAACGAAAGAAATTGAAAGTGAATGCAAATCATAAACAAAGACAAGTATGGAAGTAGGTGGCCCAAATGGCCAACACGTGCACATGTGGCGGTGGTGCATATGATTTAGAACCTTCGATGGTTTGATGTTAACTCTCTCTCTCTCTAACTAATATTTTTAATTTTTAACGTTTGATGGATAACTGGGTTGGAAACACATACGTTAACTCGGAGATATAGCACACCTCGGTTGTGTTGCTGCGTTATCAAAAATGTTATCCTGAACTGTTAAGTTGCCATAACGTGTGGCCGTTAAAAATAGCATTTATGAAACAGCACAGGGCTGAATATATTTTTAAGCCTTTCTTATTATGCTCGCGCTGTTGATTACATAGAAGAACAGAGACGTTACAGAGAAAACCATCGTTAATTAATTAGTTAAATGTTCACTAAATTAGCATGTTTCACTTAAACAGTTCATTTTCAGCTCTTCCATTAACAGAAACAAAACAAACGAAAATTTTTGTTTGAATAAGCGACTCATTAATTTATTCAAAATTTTAGAAAATGCTATAAAAATGTGCGTGGTCTTGTAAGTTGGAATTTAACAGAACATCAGGCAGCAAAAAATCAGGTCACTTTTTAGCCCGTTGCATAAGATACTCTTTTATTCATCGCAAAGTCTTTGTTTTGTAAACGGGATTAACTGATTTGACTAGAAAAGACCAACTCACAATAGTCGATTTCATAAAGGTTTCTTCAAAGCTTAGATTTATATGGAAATATCGAAACCTGCAAGTTAGCAATCGATAAGCTTCCTGCAGTTTCTTCGCATAAAAAGCTAAGCAGTGGCTGATCAAGGATACGAATTGCAGTATCCCTTTCACTCTCATTATCAGCAAATATATAAATGTAATAACCACTATTAAAGGTCACATGCTCCATATTATTTGCAAAACTTTCTGAAGTATTTTCTCATATTTTTTTCTTGCTAACATTGAGGTATGCGCCTCCAAATCGTTTTAAATTTAGCAGAAAGTTGCTGACAAATGTTACATAAGAATTCCTAATACTAATAAGTCTCTCCACTGCCGAAAATCAGGTTTAATGATGTTGAGTTTTGCCAACTGAAGTAATTAATGGAGCCCGTGCGAAAATAAAATACTAGTTTCAACCAAAACTTGGCGTCCGTGATTTTACTTCGTTAGTCGCTCAAGAAGCATGACTTTGCATCTGTCGGCTCAAATTTGATGTATTCTTTGCCTAGTCATTAGAGTTTGAGCCACTAAAGCTGGGAAATATACTGGACCTTCACTGTGGCTCGTAAAATAGATAGATAAGCATTATTTCTGTGTGGTTACCAAAGCAGAAAGTGAAGTGTGTCTTCAAAATAGGTCGCGTAATAAAATTGGAAGTGTGTCACTGACTACAAATTACTGCTAGTCATTACTACCTATTGAAGATACAATTTCAATCTTGTTATCAGGTGGCAAATTAAAACAGAATAACGTGAAAATGCGCAGTGGCAACCATGCGTGAAAGTACATATTTTTTGGCAAACGCAACACGTTATGTATTGTATTTACGTTATATTTGTGGTTAGGTTTCGAATTGCTCCCCTCCAAACTAAAAACCGATAGCAATGCCGGAAGTCATTTGTTGCACTAGTAGATTTTTTAATACAACTGTACGAGCGAAGAATTATTGGTTAGTTTTTAAAGTGAGCTCTTCAAAACTTGACAAGGTGCAACAAAGTCGAAAATCCATTTAATACGTTTGAAGATATTTTATGAAAACAGGTTTTACTAAAGATGTCTTTTTAAGATGGCCCCCATTTAATGTAAATGCGGATATTTTTGGAACCCACTGGTACTCCAACTGTTTCAACACACATCTTCTTAAAATGAACAAAATATTGAAAATCCATTTGATGCGCAGGTATATGTTTTGACAAACATAACACCACTGTATCACCGTTAGATTTGTGGTTAGCTTTTAGATTGAGCTCTTCAAAACTTAAAAACCAATAACAATATTGGAAGCTCATCTGTTGCTCAAGTAGATATTTTTGACAAACGTCACTTAACAGTCTCAATTATAAAATTGTAGTTAGCTTTTAAAATGCGCTCACAATTTAATCAATACCAGAAATCACTTTGAGAGGAATAACGCAAATTTTATATCAATCTTTATATCTCTTTGAAAATTAAATATAAAAAATAACTGGTGTTAAAGCTTGAAATCGATCCAATTAGGCTTCGTTGACCGATATTGTTGTTAAACGTTATTCATAAAACTGACCGAAAGTGGATAGATGTTAGCCTTGTCCAGTCCAAATCTTCAGCACATTATTAACTACTTGTAAATATCCTAAATTACCGCAAGTTTATTGGCTCATCATCATAGTTGCAGACCATTAATATGAAAATAGCCACAGTTATTTATAATGTACCGATTTATCCAAATTTGGCAACAATAACAACGCTACTCGAGTGCATCAGGCGATTTATAATGTGTTTAAAATGGTGATCGGCTTGAACGATTATTTAAACAAACGAACGCACAAAATGTTTCGAGGTCTTCATCTGTTTCACTTTCCTTTTCGATTTGTTGACTCAAGTAGGCATCTAAAACCTCTTTTCTCTTGCATTGTCAAAATATTTCGTCAGTCAAGCGACGTGCCAAAATAAAAGTCGTTGCACAATTGTTTAGTTTAAAGAATCTATGAAAACGTTTAGCGATGCTTGCCCAATACATATCACCATCCAGCAGCAGAGTGTAATTAAAGAAAGCGAAAAACTGTGTTTCGAATGTGGGTTAAAAGATATCGATTGCAGCTGGTTTTGTTAAAAATATTTAAAATTTTCGAATTTGAAGTTTTGCGCTTTTGCTGTTTTTGATTACAATCTAATTGTAATACTATTGTCCCTTAAAGTTTTTGAATTTGCGTGTTTTAACAGAATTTTGACACCAAATAATGCATTGTTCCTCAACAGCTTCCGGTAGATTACATTAGTTGAAATTAATACTCACCGGCTTAAAAAAACTGCAAAAATTTATGTAAAACTGTATAAATCCACAACACAGGAAGATTCCATCCGCTCAAAGAGCTCCGTTAAACTTCATTTTTCTAATGGCTGGTTTTCCTTCGAGTGAACAAAACAAACCAAAACTAAAAAGAAAAACTTCCGCACTCACTTTTCTTCGTTTCTGTTGACTGGTGGCCTCTTGCGCCGATCGAGTAATGGATAACTACTGTTTCGATATGGTGCACTGGTACCGCTCAGCTCGAAAGTCGGAGAAATGGAATGGTCGGTACCAGTATCAATGGTACCAAATTTACAAATAAATTTGCCTACACGATTAAAGTATTGAAAACCTAAATAACTATTTCTGATGGAAGCGGTCAAAGAGACAAACTTTTCTTTGACTAATTCAAGAAACATTAGGATCTTGTTGCTGTCGAATGCACATATCTGTTACCTTCTCTCAACCAGTTGCTTCGATATAATCAATATTATCTAGCACAGTATGACATAACTGGCTTTCGGCTTGCAAAACCCAAATTCGAAATCGATTTTCGGTAAATATAAATTCGGACTGTGACCAAGCATTTCCGCAATTTGTGCGCAATTAGGTACCCGGTTCTTTATGGCTTTTTAATATGATCTTCTGTCCATTATGGTTAATAACCAGATTTTATGCAATTTTCATACTATTCTGATGTAAAACCTAATATATTTATAATTGCGCGAATTATTCAGAGTGGAGTTATATGATTTTAATTTGGTGCTTACCTGCAAGAATGTCTGTTAATCCTTCAATTCACTTAACCAGATACTTAACAGATACTGAGGCACCAAAAGCAAGCACACGGTTTTTGTTGAATACAAGTGAGAGATAAAAACAATACTAAAATCATCTTCAAACAATCGTTACTGTTTGCTCAGTTGTCACAACAAAACCAGGAACCGTTTTACGTCTTTACTCGGAAGGAGCTTAATGGATTGGCCAATTTTGTCAGAAAAATGTTGATTTTTTAATTGTTTTGGCATACAGCTTGATTTTGGGCTGTCTAGACTAATCTGTACTATCATTGATGATACAGCAAAAGCGAGTAACCTTAGACTGCACGTAGTTAAACACTGTTCAGGTTTGAGCAAATTTTAAAGTGAATTTTTTAATGGAAACTACAGCTTGAAATCTACAAAAAATTTTTTTGTAAATTTAGTTGCTGTATAAATGCTGACCATTAAAGTAGAAAGGGAAGGAAAATAAGTCATAAATATTTCTGATTCAGCGACTTTCTCCACATTCTTGTGCAGACGAATCTTTGAAATGCCAAAAAAACAGGAAAGGGACGAAAAACGCAAAATGGAAAATGCAAAGCTTAAACACAAGAGGAAAACTCGACAATGTAAATGCAGAACTGAATATGCTACAGATCAAGATCTTGGAACTAAGTGACAAGGTATCGACTCACTGGTATCAAAGTGTTGCTACTATTCTGGAACTTGCTATGCTCATTTTCTGTAAATCACAATTTGCACCTTGCGTCTACATTGCTGCAACAATAATTAAAAATATTTGCATTTGCCAAAGTTCCAGCTTGCGCGGCGAAATAAATGTGCTGTTCATCATGGATGATGCTAAAATTGCGGCGGCAGCTTCCATAATTTTCTGTGATTAATCTAAAAAGAACAAGAGAGTAAATAGGCGTTACTGGACGACCCGTATATCTCAGAGCAGAAGCTTTATACAGTGGCAGTGATTTGCTGTACGACCTGGCAATTGAAGATACTGGCCAATTTAAAAATTGCTGTCGCTTGTCCAGGCAAAGCTAGTAAATGCAAACCATTTGCTGGAATAAACGTCCTTCTGTCCTAAAACGTATTAAGTTCTTTAATTTAAGTTTATGTGAATGTAATGCATAAAAATACCTTGTTGAGTTCTTGTTGTAGTTTTAATTTTGTCTCTTTCCCTCCGAAATGAAGATAGCAATGAACTCATTTTTACTTTTATCGATTCTAGGCCGCTATTCATCTCTGTTGCGATTTTCATCCATGCATCGTATTTTTTATTTCGTAAGTGGTAATTTTTATTACCGCAGTCCCATAATTCACGCTGATTTTTATATAAATTTATCAGATGTAATATTTTCTCGTAGTCCGAGTCATTTCCTTCAGATTCGCACAAGCGCGTATAGTAAACTTCCACTAGCGTCAAAACTAAATTTTCGCGAACACGAACATTTTTTTGTTGTACCGACATCAACCGGAACATCCTTGCACAGGATACCGTCCTAATTAGTCACATTTCATAAAATTTGTAACGTTCGCAAATGCCTTTTTTCAAATTTTTAAAATGATGTATGAGTAGTGAATATATCCATATAAGTGCAAGAGTCCATATACAATCTCATAACTTTCGAGCAAATAAAGCCGATATTTATTTTCTCTAAACAAGTACCAACAAAACCATTCTGCTGGGGTCTTTGCAGTGAAAGTCAACGTCCCCAGTTCCCCAGCATCGACTCATTTCTTTCCTTCAACCCACTCTGGATCAGCACACTAGACATGATTAAATGTTGTCGAATTAAACACTAGCAAGAGGAAATTAAACAATGAAACCAATATATTCCAAAAGACCACACAAACGGGCATAGAAGCCGCACGTAGAAAGTTCGATCAATAGAGTAGCAATATAAATCTCCACAGCGTGAAGATCGGAACCTATCGAAGACCGTTTCAATGGGCATCATCCGCGGAAAAGATTGTCGTGACTCAGGAGTTTGTTCTAAAATCCGGTCGTCATGGCGAAGGGCTTTGTTCTAATGCCAGATGAGAGCTTTCTAAAATACATAGAAATCGAAGCCCGAGCTTGAGCCAAACTTTCCCCAACGCTAAGAATCTGGGGTAAAAAAGGAGTGAGTGTTTCTTACAGAGTAGCCTTTTGCATGTGTTTCTTATTGTTTAAACATTGGAGATAATGTTAATGAGTGAGTGTTTATGACAGAGTAGCCTTCCAAATGTGTTTGTTATTGGTTAAACACTAACTAAAATGTTAATTAGTGAGCCTACCTTAAAGATAAACCTTTTCGACTGTATTTAATAATTTACTTTTTATAAAATTCACTCTACCTTTCTTCTGTTAAGTCCTTATATTTATTTTTCTTTTTTAATATTAAACTGTTTTTTGTTAAAATATATCGAAAGTCTAATACAGACTTTCAGTCCAATACAGATTAAGTATCATTTAAAAGCTCAAAAGGTAAAAGACAGATCCTAGTACTGGCTGTAGTCGTACAGCAGTACTTGAGTCAAACTTTTGTTCAGTTTATATGAGTAATTATGGTAGGTTCAGGTACTGACTGTGGATGTCCCGCAGTACCTGGGCTCGGAACCCGTTGAGAGAGAGTAAGCTAGTAGGCGTGTACTGGCTGTAGATGGCCCGCAGTACATAGTGAAGCCAATTGAGATACTGTTTATCATGATAAATGCCAGTAAGTAGTAAGTGGCTAGTAGAGATTTTCCTGAGCAGATATTTCGTGCGCTGTTTCCCTAATATCTACCTATTAACAACGCAGGATTAGCGAGGATTGTCCTAGGGCGGTATTTTGCGCGCTGTTCCCTTAATACCTCCTAACAACCCAGGATTAGCAGTAACATAATGCAACTTCGGTTGTGGTTTTGTTGGGTTCAGAAATAGTATAAAGTTACTACGGTGAAGCAGGTCATAGGTAGACAACTCCTGACGTCAAGTGAGGATTCTGGATTGTGTTACTTCATGCTGAGGCACGGTTGGTGCTTGTAGCTGAATCTCATACATTTATTTATTCTTGTACTTAATTATAATTTAAATCTATTTCTTATTGACCTGGTTACTCAATTACCTTTTCTACATTTTTTTCGGATGAATAATCTCGATCAACCACCTGACGAACTGCCATTAATAAAATACTGTTGACCGTTGTAAGTGTGATTATATGTTTTTCATGGTAGTTGATGTTTATCTGTAATAACTATAAACTAACGTCCAATACACTAATTGACAACCATCCCGCACACTTCAGTTAAAAACTGTAATTCATGGTGATTGATTAATTAATTGCCAAAACGCCGCTGATTTCTTCGGATGAAGGTAACTTTCAGGTGCATATAAATCTGTGGCAAACATTGCGACAACTCGGTTACGTCGAGCTTCTGTTGTTGGGTTCAAGGCGGTTTGTTGTGCACATTTACAGATTCGCTCGTTTCCAAATTGCAGTTAATTTTTTTTTTATTAAGCCGGTCTCAAGAAATTGATATAGCAGCAATTCGTTATAAAACAGCAATAAATCATCGTTTACAAATTTCGCTTCAAAAATAAACATTAATATGGACGTAACCACAGCACTAATTCCTCCTGCTCAAGTAGTTGTAAATGTTGAATGGGCAGCGCATTTTGTTAGCTTTGGGATTTTGGCGGATGCACGCACTGCTTTTCCACGTAACGAGCATTATTTAAGCAGATTAAGTGTGCGCGATAACTCGCAAGTCATATGATAAAATTTAATATTTAATTCTTCAAAAAGACTTTGTAGGAAGTACAAGTTGGAAAAAGTATTTTGTTGAAGAAACTTTACCTAAAATATCAGAGTTGAATAAATATAGTCTCCTTCTTCTCAGGTCGCCGTCTGTCTATGAAGGTTATAACCCACCTGCAACCTTTTACACTGCCAACGTTCTGTACACCTTCCACAGAAGAACACACAGAAGGCCCTATAAATACGACGGGCCATCCAGTTTTTAAAACAAAGTTCCAACTAGCATCTCTTTTCAACACGAGCTGGTGTCCAAATCGTTTTCTGAAACGCTAACTGATTCTACCCCAAAATGCACGTAGTTACCACCGGTAAAACAACGTGAATTTTGCTGTCCTTTAGGAACGTTTTCTGCAACTACGAACTGCTTCAGAACTTAACAATTACATGATTTATCGGCCACCCCAACAAGGCAGGGGGCGGCACTGCCATTTCAATCTAAAACTCCCTATCCCACTTCCGAGTCCCCTCAATTCTTAACACCTCACTAATTCTTCATATAGAAAACTCAAAGCAAATCCTTATAATTTCGGCCTATAAACTCGCGATGGGGGCTATCGAATAACAACTATCCAATTATTCGATAGTTTCAATCAATTCGATAGCGTTGTTTTATTCAGTGATGGAAACTATCACGTAAAAAGTATCCAATTATTCGATGGGGTGTAAAGGGTTTGGCAAAAAAAAGCCAAGGCAAACTCAAATAGCTCACGAAGTTTTGTAGACCCAGTCCAAGCGGTCCAAGCTAACAGCCCCGGGTGGATGAGCCGGTAAGAACAACTTACAAGGGTGCTGACTTATGTTAGGGATGAGAAATCATACGTTTGATCAACGGCATGTGGATGTAGAAGGCGACGCAAAACTACTGTCTTAAAAACTGTTAGAGTATCCCTAGTAAAATCGTAGACAGCAATCATTGCAATGTTCAAGACAAAATGTTCCGTAGTTAATAGTTTCCCAATCGGATCTCCCGGGAGAACAGTGGCGAATGAAAGCAGTAGCCAACTATATGAAGATCGGAAGGAACATAGAATGCAATAAGTGTTTTCGCACCAGGAAAACAGAATAACATTGTGAAGGAAATGTTGATACTAAATATGGATAGTGTGGGGGTAGTGATGTGAGTATCATATCATCATTTCTATGTACGTCTTCGTATTTCTAAGAACGTCTAAACAACTATATTGTTGGTTCGAATAGTGGACTGTATAAGAAAAACACTGAACTGAAATATATAATTACTCTGACTATATATATTTCCGCACAAGTGCTTTAATTTTGGGATTCTTAAATAGTACTTTTACCG